ATATATATATATATATATATATATATATATATATATATATATATATGCATTTTAAACCCTTCCCACACTCTTGCAATATTCTAAACAATGTTTCTAAATGTAAACACTCTAAAAGAGCACAGATTGTCATGATTTCAGCTCTCTGCCTCTAGTTGCTCTCTACCACCTGCCAGTGCTCTTAGTCATGTGCACTTCTCCTCTGCAGAGCTGAGATCTGACATGCTGCAGGATGAAGCTTCTCCTGCAGCTGTGGGCTGCAAACAGGTGCAGCATCTGCTATAATTTATTTTAAATTAAAATTCCATGCTGACCGTGCGGCTCATCCCATCAATCAGCCAAATGTTTGTCATGTCCAATCTTACTTTGAAAAACCGTGATAGAGCAAGTCCTCGAGAAGGGAACCGCAAAGTAGCGAGGGACTACTGTACCTGCATGCCTGGTACCTATTGTTTACTTTTCTGGTTTTGTGACCAGGTACATACCTGGATGATCATGTGTTTGTTAAATCTTTATTACTGAAACAGAAAAACAACAAAAATGACAATGCCCACCCCTACCTCTAGGAACGTTCTAAACATGAACTTATATAGAAATGCATCTGTTATTTCCCAAATACCTCCACTCACTCTTCACCCATTTTCTTTCTCAGCAGGACAGGCGGCTTCCACCTCCAGTGCCTAAAAAGCCACATAAAGGTTCCCATCACCACCCCACTTTGGCCAGAGACCGCTCACTGGAGAGCTCTGAAAAGCAGCGGCAGGAGGCCCGCAAGCGCCTGATGGCTGCCAAGAGAGCAGCGTCTGTACGCCAGAACTCAGCTACAGAGAGCGCCGATAGCATCGAAATCTACATTCCTGAGGCCCAGACCCGGTTATGAGGACACCTAAAGTAACAAACACCCCTAAAAGAAAACAGGGAAAGGGGTAAACTTAATGTGAATATTTTATTGATCTTATGTTTTCTTTAGCTTCTCTTTAGATTTTACCTGATCAATTGTGTTGGATGGAAAATATTTGAACCGTTGATGAACAAGTCAGATATTTAACACAACTTTTCCCATCCCATTTGAGTTAGTAGCAGAGTCAAAGTCCTTCTCATGTATTTATTTCTGTTTTTGTTCTGTAGAACAACAAATAATGCAAAATATTGATGAGCATTACTTTGAATATATATTAAACATCCACATAGGCCTTGATGCACCTCAGATCCTCTTGATGACCTCTGCTGTTTTACCCACAATTTATTTATTTATTTATTTATTTTTTAACAACATTTTATTTCAGCAGCCAATTGAACTGTACCGTTCAATCAGTGAAAGTTTTTGGTTGAATTCAAATATTATTTTGTTGATAGTTTAACCTAATTTGGAGTCCCTTCACCCCTGACCTAAAACTGTGGAATTATCACTTATTGGTTAAGTTTTATACATGTTTTTATTTGTCCTCAACAATATAAATATCAGTAGTATCTTACGAAGCTGCAGCTGTTGGAGAAAAGTTGGCAACTCAAAATTGAAAGGAAAAAAGCAAAGAAACAAACAAAAAAAATAACTGTAAATTTTATTTTAAATTCTCACTGAATTCTGCATGTTTGCAACCAAGTGACCAGAAAACCATGCAACTGCATTTATCCAGCCAGTTGTTGAAAACGTTGACATTTTTTTATGAGCACCGCGTACATTTCTGTTTTCTAGGCTGTGCACATTATTTTGTTGTCCACCTCCACCCCATACAGTTAAATAAGACAACTAGGGTGTGCAGTGGTCACGTGACATGACTCACTGAAGGGACGGCAGCCATAATCATAGAGGACAGGCATCTGGACTTAGACTTGTTGTAGATATTGGCAAAATAGCCAAGAGTAAGGGCTGATTATGTAAAAAAAACCTTAAAAAATATATTATTGAAAATGTTAAAATAATACTAGCTTATATACATTCCATCTAATGTAGATACAATTGTAAAAAATGCCACAAATCTATGTGCACTACAGTTGTACAAAATGAAGAGAAAAAGGAAAAGGAGAAAAAGGACCTTTCACAAGTCAGCAGATTTTATTTTATTTATCTCAATGTTAATGTGATCCGACCACAACTGAAGCCAATAATACAAAGTTTGTTTTCTCAGTCATCCAGGTATATAACAACAAAAAAG